CCTGGCCACCATTGTCTTCTTTGTCAACCTCGACCTCATCGACTCGGGCAAGGGCGGGTGGAAGGCGCACATCGAGGCGGCCGAGATGCTCATCTCGTCGCTGCAAAAGGTCGACGGCCACCTGCTCGACCCGTCGGTGGCGCCGCTGGCCGATGCCATCGCCGCCGACTGCGTCACGTACCGCATCCTCGGGTCTACCATCAGCGGCGTCGGCTTCCTGACGGGGTCCACCATGCGCCACGGCATCGGCATCGACGTGTTCACCGTGCTGCAGCGCGCCGAGGCCTACAGCTATCACTGCTGCCCCCCCTTGATCCTGCAGCTCATCCTCTCCACCAGCCGGCTCTGCAGCCCCGAGTCCAGCCTCGACAACAACGACCGCATCGCCGCCACGGCATCGCTCCTCCAGCAGGCCAGGACCTTCAACGTGCGCGAGTGGGTCAACAACATCCGGGGTCTCTCGTCCCACGACGACCTGGTGGCGCGTGAGCATCTGGCGTCGGCGTTCCGTGCCGCTGCCTGTCTGTACATGCTGCTGGTGCTCCCGGATGGTTCCAGCGACACGCACGACACAAGCCTGCTCTCGCCGCAGACGGCCGACGAGCTGGTGCTCGAGGTGCTCGGCCACCTGTCGCGCATCCCCGATGACCACGTGCTGCTCAAGGGCACGTCGTGGCCGACCTTTATCGCCGGCGCTCACACCGACGACAGGGTCTGGCGCGCCTGGTGTCTGAGCCGCCTACGCGAGGTGTGGAACAAGAACCCGTGGATCTGCCCATGGGGCTACGTCCACACGGCCATCCAGATGCTGCAGGACGTGTGGGACGCCAAAGCCACGGCGGCCCCAGACGGCGGGACCAAGATGAACTGGCTGCAGGAGCTGCGGACGCTGCGCGGCAACTGTTTGATTGTGTAGTATTCATCCACAGTAGAGAAGAAACTAGATCAACAAGACAACCCTTTCAGCCCATGTCCCCCCAGCCTCCCACTTCCACCCTCCATCCACCCCTACCTCACCTAGGTAAACACAACCCACGCAACCACCGCCGCAACGCGTAACACCAACCGCGACCACCACACCTCCACCCACCAGAGCAAACAATCCCCCACCGACCCGACCGCCGTCACTCCCCACCGCCGCGCCAACTCTCGCACCCCCAGCATCACAGGGAAGTTATCCCGCCGGTAAAAAACCACCATCAGCCTCCACTGCACCCACGCGCCAACCACCCACGACGGCACCCACGCCCGCCCAGCAGCAGCAGCAGCAGCAGCGCCGAGAATAACCCCATTCAACTCCCGGAAGAAAACAGCCTTCTCGCCATCAGCCGGCTCAGTCCGCTCCACAACGACAACATGCTCGTCCCCCGCTACACTCGCGCGCGCCCACTCGTGCCAGGTATACCTATCAATCCTCAGCTCGGCCGACGACGGGCCGGCGCTGACATCGAACGTCTCGTCGCCCAGACGCACGCGGATAGTCCCGCTCACGACGCGGAGGTACTCGGTGTGCGTCTCGTGCCAGTGCAGCCCGCTGGTCCAGGCCGAGCCGCGGGGGAGCGTGATGGTGGCTTTGTTGGCGGTTGTGAGGTCGTATATCACGGCTGTGGGTGGCGGGCGCGATATTATGCTTGTTGTGGCCATTTTGGGCATGTATGAGGGGAGGGAGGGAATGGTGCACGTGTGTGTGGCTGTCTGACACCGGGAGGTTTGGGTATATTATGTGAGGCAGTGACTTGTTTGTACCCCTGACCACACGTTCAGTTGCTGACACAGTGGCCACTTCTGATAATTTCCTTGGCGAACCTTGGTTCTTTGCTCACCCCAGTTTAATTCAAGTTCCAAATAGCAAACAATCGGGCTGAAACAAGTGTCTTTCTGTTCTGTTCGCTGCACGACCGACAGCGTGAAAAGATTTGGCCTGGGAAGCCTCTGATGCAGTGTATGGCTGTCAAGTCTTGCCTCTTTGAAGCTGTCGCGGGTCATGTCGGATACTTAGGTCGCTAGTCCGAGCCAGTACGAGCAGCGTCGCATTCTGAACAGACATGAGAGCAAGTGGCTGACAAATTGGAACGAAGGATCCGTGCTATTCAAGTTATCTAGAGGTAATTAGGTAGGCACTTGGGGGGACCACAGTTGAATCCAGTTTTACTAATTCCGATTGAAAGAACAAGACACTTTCACAGCATACAAAATTACTAGTGTGGCCGGTACTAGAGTAGGTACGTTCATGTTGCGCTTGAACCTCGGGCTATGTCACTTGCCTGGGAATCAGGTAGAACAGTGGTAATTTAGTGTCATCGGGTGTCTTGTCTTGTGTCTATCCGGGTCTAGACAAGAGAGCCAATCACTCAATCCAGGGCTGAAGAACACCATCGTGGTTATTGGTGTGTGTGAGTCACATGCATGCGCAGGACACTGTGAACTAGAGTCTCAGTAAGTAGCCCCCTTAGTTTTATTCCCCATGGCCATTCCAGCTGCACATTCCCTGTCACGTTCAAGTTCCTATTGTTCAACTGACTATGTGGAGGCCCGTGACAATTTGGGACTCTCTTCACTCGCCATGCCCACATGGTATTATCCGTCCCGAGTATTGAGTTCCCATGCCAGAAACCGCATCATTCTGGTTGGCTTCTTCCCAATCCCGACAAAAAAAACCGAACAACAGCCGACCCAATCCAGTCCAGTCCGGTCCCACCTCCACACTCGGCCTAGCAGCGCAGTGCTGCAGACGTCCCAGTGCAACTACTACCTGCACCACCACTCACCGTTGCAGCTCACCACACTTGTCAGCGCAGCGCTCCCCCACTCACAGTTGCAGGCCCCGCGGGGGGGCTACAGCACAGTGGTGTAGTGCAGTGCAGTGCATTGCATGGGCATGGGGCATGGCCTCCCATACTGACCTGCTAGTCGTCCACCACCAAGACGAAGACCAAAAGGAAGGTAGCAGCAATCTTTCGAACCTTCCACGCACGCATTACTGGACCAATTCCAGGGCGACCGAGATTGTCTGTCCGCCGCCGAATCAAAGACCACTGATAAAAAGAATCAAAAAAAGGACTCGAGGTCGTCTCGTCGGCACCCGCGGTTAGTTAGTAGTAGTAGCCCTGCCTGCCTCAACCCACCCGTTGGACACGGTGCTTGCCGGTTGGTCTAAACTCGGCCCCTTTACCCGCCGCCAGGCGACATAGGTGAGAAGAGCAAAAAAAAGAGAAGTCGCGGGTTGTGATGTGATACAGACTGCATTGCTCTTCGGGCTGTTATCTGCCGAACGTGCCATGCGTGGAATTAAATGGCCATGCCATGCCATGTCGTTCTTCAATGTCTGGTCCGTGCCGGTTAAAACTCGCTCATGCTCCTCCTCCCCATCCCCGCCCCGCACCACCCGCACTGTCTACCCACCTCGGTCAAGTTTCTTCATTACCAGTTTTCCCCTCGTGCTTGTTTCCCACATATGTGATGGCCTGAAACGTTGTCATATGTTTCAGCGCGCGCCCAGGCAGCTCGTTCCAGACACGCACGCACAACAAACCAAACTCCCCCCTTTTTTTTTGCTCTTCTTTTTCTCCACAAACCGTCACCTACCTTGATTCAGGTCAGGGAGACCTCGGCCGGGCTTGATCGGCTGCACGTCGACCAATCCATGTCCTCGAGTCAGCCAAGCCACCGTGCAGTCACTTGATGTACATCCCACTCGCGCTCCGAGTCCCAGCCCGCGGACTATCACCACCCCCTCCCGCCGCCGAACATGACCTCTCCACCTCCCCCACCATCGCCGGCGGGCTTCTACAACTTGTAGTCCCCCCCTGGAGACTAGCGGCGACCGGCAGCAGCAGCAGCAGCAGCAGCAGCAGCAGCCTCCGCCGCCGCGACGACTCGATGCAGAACCAGAACGTGACCATCGGCGTCGTGGTCGGCGTCCTGCTGGCCGCCTTCCTGATCTGCCTGGCCTACCTGCTGCACCGGTACCGCGGCGCCATCCGCTTCACCCCGCGCAGCAAGAAGAAGCGGAGACGCCGCCACAGCAACCGGTCCGGGAGCAGCTCCAAGGGGTCCAAGAGCTCGTCGGATAGTGTGCCTCCTCCTCCTCCGCCGCCGCCGCCGCCGCCGCCGCCTCCCCCTGCTTCTTGAGTGGTAGGGAGAGAGGGTGGATCAGGGCGCTGGTTATTTCGATAGCAATGGGAAGGACTGGTTTCTTTTGTTTGACTGGATTCAATTTCTTGCTTGGCTGTTTGGTTTATTCTCGCGGAGTTTCCGGTTTGAGTTTCAGGGTTTTTGGACGCCATCTCGATGTCACGGCCGACTTGCTCATGCTTCTGTTGTTGGTAGTAGTAATCTCGGGCGGCGGTGGCGTTTGCGACAGCTTCAGCTTTGTCTGCTGTGTATCATGGGACCTTGAATGGACGGACGGCTGCATGGGATCAATGACCAATGGGAACGGGGGAGAGAAAAGCGGGTTGCTTGCACGGCTTTTGGAGACTTGGGTAAGTTAGGTAGGTTATGAATTACGGGCATTCAAGTAGATTGTTAATGAATATAATACGTATCTGAGGAACTGAACTGCATGGAGAGAGTTTCGTTCAGAGCGAGTGGAGATGGATGAACAGCAATCTAACATGACGTGCCGGGATAGATGATTTAGCAGCCTCTGTTGTTTCCAGTGTTGAGATCATGTTTTGTTTCTTGATTACTGGTACATCCATCATCACCTGATGACTTTCCCCAGTCAAATGAGTTGTTTCGAGTCTATCAAGTTTGGCACACTTCCGTTGCCAACGCCCAATTCAGCTTTGGATGACTTCGTTAACAGCACAAGCTGAAAGTTAATAGACTTCAGCACTCAAAGACCGGGCACCCATTCGGTCTGTCGCCAGGCAGATGGCGCGAAATGTGAATGATAAAGACCAGTGAGCAAGTCGCCCCAAGAAATCAAGAAGAAAGACGCAAAAGCACACACCGCTCGTCACCCTTAAAGTCTCGAGGACCGAAGCAAAAGTAAATGCCCACATCCAGAGTTGAACTGAAGACCTCGTCATATCGCAGATCCGTCTTCAGAAGACTGAAGATGGAGTCATACTAGTGACGCGCTCTACCACTGAGCTATGCGGGCTGAAAACGATTTGATGATCTGTTTATTCCTGATGAAAACAAACGGCTGCCCACATCCAGAGTTGAACTGAAGACCTCGTCATGATACGGATCGCATCTCCCTGGATCGGGAGATGGATACAGATACTAGTGACGCGCTCTACCACTGAGCTATGCGGGCTGGTGCAAGTGCCCGTTGAGGCCTTTTTCATCTTGTTGTGGTTACTGCATGGGGGTTTCTCACTATCTAGAATGGCATGAACCTGGGTAGTATTATTGCGTGTGGGACGTTTGTGGACGGGGCATAGGGTTCGGCTGCGGTAGCCACTTATGCGGGTCTTTCTCGGGGTTCACTGGCAAGATTTTGTCTTGATCCACCACTTGCGTGAAGGTTAGAGCGGTGGGTTTGGAGCTTGGGAGACTCCATGAGGTGTCGGAGTGAAAGTGGAGTTTCCATACTGGTAGAGTGCAAAACCTTGTTATACCTAATTATATCTCATGTATCAACTTTAAAAACGGAATAATCTTGGGACAAGCATAGCCTCAATAAATACTACAAATTACTCTGATTATATATGTTTCGTTATTTAATGTAAACGTAAACGACCCCTAAATGCATCTGAAGCAAAACAACTCAGTGCGAAAAATGGGAGCCATGTAAAGCTCAACAGACAAAAGCAACCATGACACCCCTTCCTGTTCAAGACTAACACAATAACAAGGTGTCACCCCACCTCTAGTAACGATGAAGAACACTAATTAAAACAGGAGTATCAACGACAAGAAAACACGGGCATATATTGACCCTTGAGTGCTGTCCATGCGATACATCCAGACACCTGTTAATCAACAACCGCAACAAGCCCAACACCACCCCTCCACCCTCACCTCCCCTCATCCACCAACCGCCCTGCGCTTCAGCCCCCGTCTATCCGCGGGGGGATACCGCGCCGGCCCAGACCCAACCTCTCGACCGCCGGCACCAGGCCTAGCATACCCCGGCACGGGGCCGGACCTGCCCGTATCCTCCACCTGCCTCTCCCTCCCCCTCCCCCTTCCCAGCCCCTCGTCCAAGTTCATAATATTGCTGATCGACGCCTGCAGCCTCTCGATGCCCTCCTCCAGCCGGTCCGCATTCGCGACAAGCCGATCGCGCACCTCGCACTCCCTGTGCGACTTTGGCCCGCCGCCGCGCGAGAGTCTGCGGATCGACGCGAGGGTGTCGTCGAGTTCCCTGCGCAGGGCCACGAGCGCCGCGGACAGCTCGCTGTTGCTGTAGCTGTTGGCGTTCCGCTTCGTTCCGTCAGGCAGACTCCGTCCTCTTGCCAGATCGTTGGTTTGTGTTGGTGGCTTGGTAGATGTCTTCTGCTTTGCTTCCCTCCGGTGGCTGAGGTAGCGGCTGATGCCGTGGCCGATGATGCCGACGGCGACTTGGCTGATTAGCTGTTGTGGTGACGAGTCGTCGCTGCGGCTACGGCCCTCTCCTGCTTTTAGACTCCGGCTGGTGCTGCTGCGGTCGTGATATCCACGGTTTCTGCTCCTGCTTCTGCTTCTGCTTCGGCTGCGGTCGCTGCTGCTGCTGCTGCTGCCGCGAGAGGACTTTGTGCGTTGGTTGGAGGGCCCGGGGGATCGTGACCGCCGGTGCGAGCTGGACTTTTTGTGGTCTTTATCTTTGCCTTTTTCTCGGGAGGAGGACGAGGAGGAGGATTTCTGCTCGCTGAGCCGCTTGAGTGAGTACACGAGGGCGGCCCGGCCGAGGTGGTTTATGATCTCGCCCGAGACGGTGGAGGCGCGGGTTGGAGAGCGTTTGTGTTGTGATGGCATTGTTCTTGCTAAACCACAGCGGTGAGTGGTGTTTGGATCGGGAGAATGGTTTGTTCACTTGGACTGAATGTTGGATTCGAACACCCCACCGACTCCGTAGAGTCTGATCGGAGCGGAGCTCGGTGCCTGGAGGGAAGGACTTGAGAGATCTCGGGGAACTTGAAACCATGTCTGCAGCTGCTCGTTTTCCGTTCCCGCTACTTGTTTCTATAGCATATAAGCCGCACGCGCACACGCATACACACGGGCACGCGCCATGGCGCCCTCAAAGGCCCATCGCGTGGGACGTGGGAGGCAGCCTAGAATTAGGGCAGTGAGTCGCTCCGCGTGGAAGTATAAGCGTAGTGCCACCAACGTCAGCGGGTGCCGTCGCGTGATACCGCGTCCGAGACACCGGATCATGTCTGTGTATTGTGAGTAATAATACCACCAGATGGTCGATGAACGCCATCAGCGATACCAATATTCGAGATATATTATCAACGTCGTATTGGGAAATCGTCGAATTCCATCGACACGCGTGTAATCGGAAAAAGACGGGACCGTGACATCCCCCCGGGCCGTGTAAGCGCCTCGACTCCCAGCCCTTGCTTGCCCCTAAACGCCCCCCAAATTAGCAACCCACCCCACCGTCCGTGGTCCTCAACAGCCCCCAGCGGCCGCTACCAGCAAGCCTAAACTTTCAGTGCAGGATCATGATGGCACCCAAACCACCTGACAGGGTGATAAGCTCCCTCGACATCAGTCTCTCCCCCATCGCCATCAATCCTTTAGGACCAATATCATCTCTGATCTCCCTCCCTGTCGCCGTGATTAGTCCCATCGCTCGCCCTGCCAGTCTAGCGACAGCGATGATGCTTACAGCACAGCCAAGGTGATGTCGCCCTGTATCTTGGCCTTGAGCTGGATGTCGACATCCAGGTCCATGTCCAGTCTGACCGCGGGGGCGCCACGACGGTCGGCTGCAGTGTTCGTTGTTATCGGTGCTGGCTGCTGCGATTCCTGCTCCATGGTTCTTTTCACCATGGGTTGGCTTTCCCTGTCGTCCGCGCCGACTCGCTCTGCTTGGCTATTCTCTTCTGGCCTTGCGAGCTGGACCGCGCTGGTACGCGCAAGGTCCTCGTCGTGGTCTGGGCTCTCCGCCGGCCGTTGAGCTGGCGCCCCATCGTGGTGGCTTGGAGCCGGCTGGTGGTTTGTGTCGGCGTGTTTGCGGATATCCTCAGTGTCCATCTTGTAGGTTTAAGATCGCCTGGTTTGCGCAAGGTGCAAGGAATAGAGTGGCAGGGCATACTGTACAGTCAAAAATGCGCCTTTCGCGATGGGCGCCACTGATCCAAGATGCTGGATGGGAGGGTATGACATCATATTCTACGTGGGAGACAAGCGGCGGAGGCGAGGCAAAAGAAGGGGCCGATCTTGACCACTCGTGCTACTTGTTGGGTTATATGCTTCCCAGCGACTGCACGGACAAAAGACATTGCGGCGCATTCGCACCTCAGCAAAGCTTGGGGTTTCTCTTTGTATTGCGACATGCGCGCCAGCAACGTCTCCAGCCCGTGCACTCTTTGTGATCTTGTTTCCCCCTCCCAGTCCACACCATATCAATCCAACCCTTTTTTTCCTCCTTTCACTTCACTGCGCTCCAGCGGCGATCGCCTTCTCCTTGGCCAGCCTGGCCATCTTCTCCGACGCCAGGCGCAGGGTATTCCAGTCGGCGCCCTGGATCATGGCGTTGCCGTTGACGGCCACCTTCTTGCCGTCCTTGAAGAAGAGAAAGGTCGGCATGGCGGTGATGCCGTACTCCTGGGCCACGGCCTGCACCGTGTCGACGTTGACCTTGGCAAAGGCCATGTAGCGTGGCAGCGAGTGCTGCTTGGCCAGCTCGGCGTACTTGGGCGCGATCACCTTGCACGGCCCGCACCAGTCGGCGTAGAAGTCGGCCACCACGTATTGTGTCGATGCGAGCAGCGACGCGAACTCGGCCGGGGAGGCGATGTGCTTGACGGCGTCGGCCATCGTGAGGTAGGTAGGGCAGTTGTGTCGGGGTGTTTCGTAGGTAAGGTAGGCAGTGACTCGAGGTCTTCAGTTGCGACGAGGTGGATGATGCGATTCGAATGACGATAATGCGGTATGTGCTCGACAGCGTGCTGCTCTCTCGGTCCACGGGCAGTTGAAATCGCCTCAGCCTGTCAGGTACTTATCAATGTCGCGATGTTGCCCCTCGGCCAAGTCGACGTGGGAAGATCACAAAGCCGGCGACGCCCGCGTCAAGCGACACGAACATTCCAGAACAGCAGGCGGCGAGGGCCTGTGCTGCGGATTACGATAGAGGGGGGGTCCAGGAGCTCGCAATGAGGGGCAGCCAGGCACCTTGTGGGTTAGTAATGAGGGGTAGGTACTATACGTCCCTGGAGGGAGGGGTTTGGAGACGTGACGGAATAACCCTAACCCTGCCACGATTCAGGGGCTTTGTTTTGTTATTGGCCAACAAACTCTTGAATGTGCAAGCGTCGCGACCTTTCTCACCTTCTGGCATGTGTTTCGCCATCATTATCTTGGCAAGTAGCATCCACGCATGGCTGTGTGACTAGATCGTTCATCATATCTACGTAAGATGGCCGAATCAAGAGCTTGGCTTGACCGGAGGAACATGAGGACGAGGGTTGCATGTGTTGATAAGAGCATGCTCGGAAAGTAATACCAAAGTTGTCCACGTAGCTCAAGAGATTCGACTTGTGCGCTATGTGCTGCCAAGAGATCTGGCTGTGAAACGTTGCCTAGGTACGGGAGGGTCTCGATGGCGGTGTAGCTCTCGTACATGGCCGGGACGTGGGACGAAGAGTGCCGATGTTGCATGAGTGCGCTTCAATCCCGTCTTCAACGTCTTGCCGCCAAGCCAGAACAAGAGAGTGAGAGTGACGGTTAGGGACACAATGGGCCTTTCTCTTCAATCTATTGACTCCGTGATAATTGCTAACGAATGCAGTCATCTAGTTACTCAACGGGACCCGGCCTTCTTCGTTTAATGTATCGAGTTGTCTGGCGACTTCCAAAACCTCAAGTCCACATGCAGCATTTGCCCTTCATCCTAATTACCCTGGTACCTAGGTAGTCTAGTAGCCACTCCCCCAATGCCAACAGTATTACAACCCGATAAGATGACAGCGAGTCCTGGTCTATGTATGATGATGATGATGATGCCATGATTACGATGCAGTGATCTCAATACCTCCAGCTTCCCCAACATACCGCCAATCACCCCTCCCAGAAGAGATCGACATCCTCCCCGTCCAGCCACTTCTCCATCTCGCTGTACATCTTGGCCCACAGCCTGCTGTCGTGCGGCGTGGGCAGGTT